CCAAATATGCGTTTGTTTAGGAGGAAAAATAAGAAAAAGAATTCCTTCAATTACAATAGGGCCTTCGCACGTTCAGTGCTCGGGCCCTAATAACACAAATGTCAGTAATGCATCATAGTAGGACTCGACCACTTTCTCACAGTGGAGACTCGCACACATGAAGTCACAAAAATGCAGCAGGGCTCAAGCACTTTGAGCACATGCTTTAATTCTGTTTTATCTATGACCGAGTATGGTCGCATATCGCAGCAATAAATACTTTATTAGTTATTGCTTGGCATGGTCGGAACCTGCAGTGAGAGGCTGTTCTAATGCTGTTGGGAGGAGTTGCATTCCAGTCCATTTCCATCTCTCATTTGTATTTGCCATTCAAAGGCAGCAACATTGCATGAGTTTGACAAACCTGGCTAACAGGGCTAAGCTGACTAGCATGTTACAGCTGATAAGCATGTTACAGCTGATACACAACAACTTGTGCACTACCAAAACTTTTGGGATAAAGCCTGCACTCTAGAATTTCTGTTCCAGTGCAAATAGTAAACAGTCTTGACAGTAACTGTTTGAGTCACAGGTCATACCAAACTGAGGATTGGGTTAGTAATAACTAACTTATTGGCTTGTTTTCCAAACATCCTGTACTTAACAGTTTGGGAAGAATACACCCTTGAAACCCAAACAGCTTTTTATTGATATTTACTATCAAATATTAAAAAAACTGTAATTGAACAAGTTGAGTAATCAAGTTGAATCTTTCATTCAATACAGGATACTCACCTTTGATCAGTGATTGTAGAGACTCCAGAGCTTGTCGCACATTTGGGTCACTCAGTCCTGGCATTACTAAGCCTGCTGCTGTTGGGTCTGAACCAAGAAGTGCAGGAAACATATGTTTCCCCTCCTTCTGCCCCTGCATCTTCACCACGATCTCGCTGATGTCTGCAGTGCCCAGACTTTCTAATATGTTTTTGATCTTCTCACATTCACTGCTGTCTAGATTGGAAGAGACTAAGCTTGAGGAAGTCATCTGAAGGGGTTGTTGCTGTTGACTGCCAAGAGCAAGACTATCCATTTCCTGTGGTTTGACATGTTCTCCAATCTGGGAAAACGCTGTAAAAATTGTGGTACTCGTAATTTTGGAGGACTTATTGGCTTGTTTTCCTTCAACTTCTTCATTCCCATACAAGAATGACTCTTCATCTTCAAGCTCATCAGCTTTCCGGACTGTGGAGTCCTCTTGACTTTGTACCTGGAGCCAAGAGAAGTCACTTCCTACTCTGTCATGAGGAAGGAGCATACTATCATTTTCCAATGATATTGAATTCTCCTGACTGTCGTGCTGCTGATGTCTGTGCTCATCTTGAAAAGACTCCACTTTTTTGCTTTCATCTGAGGCCTGGACAGAAGAGATAACAATGAGATAGTATTAACCAAAGTCTCATTGGTCAGGTTATCGCTGGTAATGTCACTTTAACTAAGAAAATGCTTCTCAATACATTATTTTAGGGGATTGGAGGGACATATGCAGACCTGATGTATGTCAATGTATGTCATATTGTTAGAAATAACAATATGTATGAAAATATCAATATATATATATATTTTATTCTTCAATAACAGTATGGTTTAATATATAATAAGACCCACAAGTCAAAAGTCAAAACACCAGTGCTTACTTTATTGAACATCACTCAGCTCCAAACTAACTGACACAATGGCACTACATTGGCCCCCAGCCTCACAAGACAGAAAAGCTCTATTTAGAGGGTTATTCATATATTTTTATACTGCATCATGAAGGTGACTGAAGACTCATCCACGGATAAACAATGACTTGTAGCTGCTAATTAACTAGCTTTTATCAGTGAAGCACTAACATTGTACTATTGTGCTAGGCTAGATCAGTTTTACAACAGATACACTGTACAGAGTTTTTGTTTTCTTTCAGCTTGACATGATCCAGAACGTTCTGCTGTGACAGTAATCATCTGTGCAAAACACAGTGCGCTCTTTTACTGTATGTAGTTATATGGAATAAACAAAGCCTCTATGCAAAGAATTTGCATCAATGATTTTTAGTAACTGAGGTTACTTGAGAAATGGTTTGCAACTGAAACAAGACATTTTGTAGAATGAATGATCAGATCTACCTGAATAGTGAGGATGGCATCTTTGAGGGTGGGCAACCGCTCTTCCATTTCTTTGCTGTTCATGACCAGCTTTAGTCCTTCAAACAGACTATTTTCTGTCAGATTATTAATGCTGATGCAGCTGTGGTTCGGACTCCTCTTTCTTTTTTTGTCTGTGCCATGGCTCTTTTCACCACTGCTACTTCTTGACTTGGACCTCCTCACCCGGCTCTTGCTCCGTACATGACTCTTCTTCTTGCTTCGGCTATGGCTCCTACTCCTACTGTGAGCCCTGCTTTTACTTCTCACTCTACTCTTGCCACGAACATGACTTTTGCTCCTTCCTCTGCTTCGGCTGCGTGCACGGCTTTTGCTTCGTGCACAGCTCTTGGCTCGAGATCTGCCGCAGCTTCGGCTTTGGCTTCTGCTCCTGTTCACATGCTTCTGGAACTCAAGGTTTGATTTGACTACTTCTTTCAGGACATTAGCTGACTGAAATGCATCAGCCAGGTTGTATGCCATGTTCCCTTTGAGATAGTCTGGGAGAGGCTTGTTGGCTGCAATGCATCTCAGGAATTCCTCACCAGCTCGGTCACTGAAAATCAATAATACATGTGTTTCAAACACGAGCAAACACAAAAAGTACGAGAGCAACTGGTCCAGCTGAAACTTATACAAAATACTTAATTTAGACATATACACACCTGTTGTCTGGAGAATGATGTTCTGCAGGATTAGGATTCCACTGTGGGACCTGAGTGTGCGTTGGTTCTGCAGGAGGGCCGATCTGCCGCCTGCCTCCCAAACCAATCACTGTACTATGGTCTATGGAGAAGCTGCTACAGTGGGGCTGAGAGTATTCAGAATTCATGTTATAGTGCTGTACAAGACAGAACTGCAATAGCATATTTAAGATAATACTTATTTAATTTGGAACAGTTGTACTCGTTCAAAGGTTTTACTTTTTAAATCTTTGAGCAATAGGAATATTTGATATTAGGTCGGTCGTTGTAACAGAGACAATGTAAAATATGTTTACAATTTGCCAGTCATATTGCATCCTGCTGATCAGTGAAATGCTAGTTCACAGAAATCAATAGCACTGGAAACGCTGAAATCAAATAGGCATTTCCTAAGTATCAGTAACAATTGAGATAATGCGTAGCCTAAGGGACAATCAGGACATGGCAGGGCAATGCTTTTCTGCTGGCCTATGTGGCCAAGTAATGCTGTTAAATCTGTGCTTTCACCCTTTCACACACATTCAGTGATGGCAAAGCCCATCGAACAGAAACTAATGCAGTCATACACATTCACAGCAATTCAGGGTTCAGTATCATGATCAATATTGAGCCCAGGGACTACAGTAAAGATACAATGGACCAGATTTAAGAAAGACAGCAAACAAGTTTTCTTTTAAACTGTTGATATATTTTCAAGACAAAAAATAGCAACAGGACGACATTATCATGGGTTATTACACACAGTGGAAATTAAATAAAAGACACAATGCATACAATGTATATGAAACATATGAAATTGTCAAGTGGATGTGAAAAAATAACCTTATTTCATGTATCCACATTTCATTTACTGCTTAGCTTAACTTTGGTGAACTCAGACCACACAAATTCCTGATGTAACAGTGTTAGAGCTGGAGGGTACAAAATGGACATTAATTGCTGTTATGTCTTTCCGTAAAACTTGTAATAATGGTATAATGGTCGGGGGTATCGATCAAAAACAATCACCAAAATTAGTTTTTTGTCAAGGGGTGGCCAAACTTTTACATTCAACTTTATTATTATATTGGGGTAGTTTGATTAATTTCTCAGTGCTTAGTGTCATTGTTACCTACTCATACTAGCATAGCATGTTCTTATCCCAAAGCAGCCTGCTGTAACGAGTCTACAATAATAATATATAATTAAAGCTGCAAGCAGCATTGGGCGGGACCTCGCACTCCACGCGACTCGGGGCGTGGCGCGGCCGCGTCACGTGCCG